TATAGTTATAGTCATTATTTATTTTATTAAAGTTAGTAGAATTGTAGTCGTGGAAATCATAAATGGAGAAAATGAGGTATAATTAGAGACAGACAGATGAAAACAATTGCTAATAAGTGGAGGATAAAGTAGTCATGAATTATAGACCTTTTTTATGCAAAGTCGTGTTCCTTATCCCTGTGACGCAGCATGCCAAGTTGATGCAGGGGGTGTCAATTACTATAATGAAAACAACAAAAAATGGAAAAGATGTCTGGCTATGACCTTTAGTATTTGGTATGGATATTCTATTTTGAACAGGCAGTCAGTTTTCTTCCTTCTTCTTTTTTCCCAACCAACTAGGTGAAACCTCATGTGAGAGAATTTGGGAGAGGGAATGATATTTCCAAACCTAACTATATAGTTGAGAAAATGTTTAACAATATGGTTGAGAAACGTTTTTTAACCAATAATTTATTTAATTATTTCATAAATTTTCTTGTAATTTGTATGTATCTTAAGACTTGATTTTCAATTAATAAATTTTAAAAGCACATTTGAAAATTAATTATAGTTATAGACATTATTTATTTTATTAAAGTTAGTAGAATTGGAGTCGTAGAAATCATAAATGGAAAAAATGAGATATAATTAGAGACAGACAGGCGAAAACAATTGTTGGTATGTGGAGGATAAAGTAACCATGAATTATGGACATTTTTTCTGCAAAGTCGTGTTCTTTATCCCTATGATGCAACATGCCAAGTTGATGCAGGGGGCGTCAATTACCATAATGAAAACAACAAAAATTGGAAAAGATGTCTGACTGTGACCTTTAGTATTTCGTATGGATATTCTATTTTGAACAGGTAGACAATTTTCTTCTTTTTTTTTTTCCCAACCAACTAGGTGAAACCTCGTGTGAGAGAATTTGGGAGAGGGAATGATATTTCCAAACCTAACTATATAGTTGAGAAAATGTTTAACCATATGGTTGAGAAATGTTTTTTAACCAATAATTTATTTAGTTATTTCATAGATTTTCTTGTAATTTGTATGCATCTTTAGACTTGATTTTCAGTCAATAAATTTTAAAAGCACATTTTAAAATTAATTATAGTTATAGTCGTTATTTAATTTATTAAAGTTAGTAGAATTGGAGTCGTAGAAATCATAACTGGAAAAAATGAGGTATAATTAGAGACAGATAGGCGAAAACAATTGCTGGTACGTGAAGGATAAAGTAGCCACGAATTATGGACCTTTTTTCTACAAAGTCGTGTTCTTTATCCCTGTGACACAGCATGCCAAGTTGATGCAGGGGGTGTCAACTACTATAATTATTATAATGAAAACAACAAAAACTGAAAAAGATGTCTAATTGTGACCTTTAGTATTTGGTATGGATATTCTATTTTGAATAGGGCAGTCAGTTTTCTTTCCTCTTTTTTTTTTTTCAACCAACTAGGTGAAACCTAGTGTGAGAGAATTTGGGAGAGGGAGTGATATTTACAAACCTAACAATATAGTTGAGAAAATGTTTAACCATATGGTTGAGAAACGTTTTTTAACCAATAATTTATTTAATTATTTCATAGATTTTCTTGTAATTTGTATGCATCTTAAGACTTGATTTTCAGTCAACAAATTTTAATAGCACATTTTAAAAATAATTATAGTTATAGTCATTATTTATTTTATTAAAGTTAGTAGAATTATAGTCGTGGAAATCATAAATGGAAAAAATGAGATATAATTAGAGACAGACAGGCGAAAACAATTGCTGATACGTGGAGGATAAAGTAGCCATGAATTATAGACCTTTTTTCTGCAAAGTCGTGTTCTTTATCCCTGTGACGCAGCATGCCAAGTTGATGCAGGGGGTGTCAATTACTATAATTACTATAATGAAAACAACGAAAAATGGAAAAGATGTTTGGCTGTGACCTTTAGTATTTGGTATGGATATTCTATTTTGAACAGGCAATCAGTTTTCCTCCTTTTTTTTTCCCAACCAACTAGGTGAAACCTCGTGTGAGAGAATTTGGGAGAGGAAATAATATTTCCAAACCTAACTATATAGTTGAGAAAATGTTTAACCATATGGTTGAGAAATGTTTCTTAACCAATAATTTATTTAATTATTTCATAGATTTTCTTATAATTTGTATGCATCTTAAGACTTGATTTTTAGTCAATAAATTTTAAAAGCACATCTTAAAATTAATTATAGTTATAGTCATTATTTATTTTATTAAAGTTAGTAGAATTGGAGTCGTAGAAATCATAAATAGAAAAAATGAGGTATAATTAGAGACAGACAGGCGAAAACAATTGCTGGTACGTGGAGGATAAAGTAGCCATGAAGTATGGACCTTTTTCTACAAAGTCGTGTTCTTTATCCCTGTGATGCAACATGCCAAGTTGATGCAAGGGGTGTCAATTACTATACTTACTATAATGAAAACAACAAAAAATGGAAAAGATGTCTGACTGTGACCTTTAGTATTTGGTATGGATATTCTATTTTGAATAGGCAGTCAATTTTCTTCTTTTTTTTTTCCCAACCAACTAGGTGAAACCTCTTGTGAGAGAATTTGGGAGAGGGAATGATATTTCCAAACCTAACTATACAGTTGAGAAAATGTTTAACCATATGGTTGAGAAATGTTTTGAACCAATAATTTATTTAATTATTTCATAGATTTTCTTGTAATTTGTATGCATCTTAAGACTTGATTTTCAATCAATAAATTTTAAAAGCACATTTTAAAATTAATTATAGTTATAGTCATTATTTATTTTATTAAAGTTAGTAGAATTGGAGTCGTAGAAATCATAACTGGAAAAAATGAGGTATAATTAGAGATAGACAGGCGAAAACAATTGCTGGTATGTGGAGGATAAAGTAGTCATGAATTATGGACCTTTTTTCTGCAAAGTCGTGTTCTTTATCCCTGTGTCGCAGTATGCCAAGTTGCTGCAAGGGGTGTCAATTACTATAATGAAAACAACAAAAAATGGAAAAGATGTTTGACTGTGACCTTTAGTATTTGGTATGGATATTCTATTTTGAATAGGCAGTCAATTTTCTTCATCTTTTTTTTTTCCCAACCAACTAGGTGAAACCTCGTGTGAGAGAATTTGGGAGAGGGAATGATATTTCCAAACCAAACTATATAGTTGAGAAAATGTTTAACCATATGGTTGAGAAACATTTTTTAACCAATAATTTATTTAATTATTTCGTAGATTTTCTTGTAATTTGTATGCATCTTAATACTTGATTTTCAATCAATAAATTTTAAAAGCACATTTTAAAATTAATTATAGTTATAGTCATTATTTATTTTATT